ACTCGATCTGATCCTGCAACATATATTTACGTAATTAAAAACACTTACTCATTTTTTGGATTGACACTAATGGACGCATCAACAATAAAACTAAATTAAATCCACTTTATACCACACAATACCACACAAATACCACGCAAAGAGCCTCTTAAATAACCGATTTATTGACCTTCCATGTCGGAGCTTCAGGTCCAGACTTTTATCGTCCAAACAAGACTGTTGTTTCAGTCAGACCTTTAGATCTCTACACATACGAGACTTCCGTTATCTAAACCTCCAAATTTAGAAAGAAAATGAAACACCTTCCAAGTCTTTTAGTCCATCCTAATTCACTGAAACAACAACCTTTTACTCCATCGGTCTACAAATTAGGGTTTTCTGAAATGTGGTGGTGATGATTGCTGCTTTTAGTTATTTTCTGATATATGGTGGCGATGATTGCTGCGTTCAATTGTCGAAAAACACCAGTAAATTAATTGTTACAACTTCCTCCGCCTCCCCCTAAATATCTAATCTCGGTAAAAGATTAATTTGAAGACAGTAACATCTTTTTGCACCGAGAATTGTCATTCTCATTTAAAACTTTTAGATAAGTTTTAATTGTCATTCACTTATAACAAACAATAATGACTAATTTTCAGTAAATCAAACTAGATAGCATCTAAAAGTTGATTAGGAGGGAAAGACAACGGCTTCGTAAAGCAGCAATCCTTGCTAATGCTTCTCCGGTTTCGGATTCTCAGAACTATAAGGCCATTCTTCCAGGTGCCACTTTGAGGACTGGTCCTAATTCTCGCTAACCCCCCACCTCTCTCTTTGTAAATATGAAGGTATTCTCTTGGAATGTTAGAGGTTTGAATATGGTTTCTCGGCAGAGGGTTCTCAGGAGTTGGGTAAATAGTAACAAATCTTTGTTAGGTGGAATTTTAGAAACTCGGGTTCAGGAAGTTAATGCTCCGGGCATTTTGAGTAATGCCCTTCCTCGTTCGAGGTGAGATAACAACTATGGTTTCTCGGACCTTGGTCGCATTTGGGTCGTTTGGGATCCTTCGATTTCATTAATGGTGTTTAAGAAGTCGGCTCAACTCATGGTGTGTGGGGTGTTTGGTCATTTGACAAAGGCTTCCTTTACAGTGGCTTTTGTGTATGCTTATAATACAGAGGTTCAACGCAGAACCTTGTGGGAAGAGATAACGGAACTAGTGCAGTACTCTCAGATTAAAGACTCTTCCTGGCTGTTGGTGGGGGACTTTAATCAGATTATGTCAGCTACTGAGCACTACTCAGTTTCTAGTTGTACCTTACACTCTTCCTCTAAGTGGTATGACTGATTTCAGAGCTTGTGTGGAGTCTAACGAGCTCTCGGACCTGAATTGTAGAGGAGCTTATTATATTTGGTTTAACTGTCGGCCAGAGGATCCGATTCTACGTAAGCTGGATAGAGCTTTGGTGAATGATAATTGGATTTCTTCTTACCCAGACTAGTGGCAGTATTTGATCCTCATGGGGACTCTGATCATTCTCCCTGTTTAATCAGTTATGACTCGGAGAGAGAAAGGACCAAAAAGAGCTTCAAGTACTTCTATTTTCTTGCCTCTCACGAGAATTTTATTGTTAAACAGACAGAGGCGTGGTCTTCGCCAAGTATAGTTGGCTCTAGCTTGTTTATGCTTGAACTTCGGTCGAAGGAAGCTAAGCTCTGCTGCAAAGAACTGAATAGAGAAGGTTTCGGCAACATCCAACAAAGAACAAAAGAGGCTCTCTCGAACCTTGAGGATGTTCAGAGATCCCTTCTAAGTTCTCTTTCAGACTTGTTGGCCAGAGAAGAGGCTAAGGCACGAGAAAAATGGAGGTTCCATGCAGACGCTCAAGAGATATTCTATCATCGTAAGTCAAGGGTGCGGTGGTTATCGAACGGTGATGCTAATACCAAATTTTATCACAAGATGGTTCTAGCACATCAGGCGAGGAACGCTATCTCTTACTTACGAACCTCAGATGGGATCAGAGTTGATAATAACAATCAAATGAAGGATATTTTTCTCCTTCTTCAAGAATCTTTTGGGCACGGAGAGTTCAGCTACTCCCTATTATGTGGCTCAAATTAGGGATATTCATCTTTTCAGATGTCCTCCTTATTTAGCTGCTCGCCTAATCCAGGTTCCCTCGGATGAGGAGATCAAAGAAACTTTCTTCAAAATGCCTAAGAACAAAGCTTCGGATCCTGATGGGTTCCCTGATGAATTTTTCTTGGAGGCTTGGGACATTGTTGGATTGGATTCTATTAAAGCAGTGAAGGAGTTTTTCCTCTCAGGCCACTTGGTAAGGAAGTTCAACGCAACTACGATTGCACTTATACCAAAAATTCTTGGTGCTGATCAACTGAATTTATTTCGTCCGGTCTCCTGCTGCTCCATGGTGTATAAGGTTATCGCTCGTATTCTAAAGAAAAGACTCAAGCTAGTTATTCCTCAAGCAGTTCAGAATAATCAAGTGGTTTTCGTCAAGGGGAGGCTGCTATGTGAGAATGTCCTCTTAGCGTCGGAACTGGCTGTTGATTTTCATAAAAGGGGTACGACGTCTAGAGGCTGCTTGCAAGTGGACATAACGAAGGCTTATGATCATTTACATTGGGAGTTTGTGCTTAATATCTTGAAAGCTCTTGATTTCCCGGAGGTTTTCATGGGTTGGATCTCTGAGTGTATATCGAGTCCTTCCTATAGTATTTCTTTTAATGGTGAGCTCATTGGTTTTTTTTCCTGGGAAGAAAGGGCTGCGACAAGGAGATCCAAATTCTTCTCTCCTTTTTGTCCCCGCCATGGATATTCTCTCTAAGTCACTTGATGCGGGTGCGGCGAATGGAGTATTTAATGTATATCCGAAGTGTGTTGCTCCGTTGGTGACACACCTTAGCTTTGCTGATGATGTCCTTCTTTTCTTCGACAGGTCGGAATCTTCCCTTAGAGGAGTTCTGTCAATCCTGGAAACCTTCAAGAGTGCTTTGGGGTTGGCAATTAATCGTAACAAATCTGTTGTGTTCTTTGATGGGGGTGATTTTGATGCTAATGCCGTTGTAGCCTCTTCGCTCGGGCTACCACAGGGATCCTTTCCGGTTTGGTATCTTGGGGTTCCACTGACCTCTAGGAAATTGAGAAAGCAGGATTATCAGCCTTTGGTAAACAAGATAGCAAATCGTTTCTCCTCTTGGACAGTTAGACATCTCTCTTTTGCGGGGCGTCTTCAGCTGCTAAAATCAGTTATCTACTCAACTATCTCCTTCTGGGCATCGATTTTCATATTACCTAATCAGTGTTTGAGAGTGTTGGAACAAATGTGTAATGGTTTTCTCTAGAAGGGAGCTCCTCACTCGGCTCGCGGAGCAAAGATAAGTTGGGATTCGGTTTGTACTTCTAAGGAGAGTGGAGGACTTGGTCTTAGGAGACTAGAGGTGTGGAATAAGGTTCTAGGTCTCAAACTGTTTTGGCCTATCTTTACAGCAGCGGGCTCTCTATGGGTCTCTTTGGTAAGACATTACTTGATTGGAGATTCAAATTTCTGGACCTTGGTGGTTAGAAACTCGGGAAGCTGGATTTTGAAGAATTTATGCAAGCTCCAACCTCTATGTCATGTGTGAAGTGGGATCAGGTATTACTGCTAACTTCTGGCTGGATAATTGGACCGTTTGGGTCCTTTGATAGATTTCACTGAGGATGCGGGCCCAAGAATATCTGGTCGACCTATACGGGCAACGGTCTCAAATGCTGTTATAAATGGGGAGTGGTGGCTTCAGTCCTCTCGTAGCAGGCATCCAGTAATTTTTCTCTTAAAACAATGTTTGCCGCCAGCTGTTCCAATTGTTAATTGAGAGGCGGATGATGTTTTCTTTTGGAAGGTGGCTCATAATACTCCTTCTCTTTCGTTTTCTAGCTCTCTAACATAGAACTCTTGTCACCCTCATAGGCCAGAAGTAGATTGGCATTCAGCGATTTTGTTCAAAGGAAGGATCTCTAAGCATGCCTTTCTCTCTTGGGTAACCGATAGAAATAGGCTACCAACTAGAAATAGACTGAGAAGTTGGGGTATACCAGTCCCGTCCGCTTGTCTTCTATGTAACATCCATGCTGAATCTTGGCAACATCTATTCTTTAATTACTCATTCGCGAATGAGGTTTTGTCTTTCTTCTCCTCAAAAGCCCGACTTAATCCTCCAGTTCTGTTTAAAGATGGATTGAGATGGCTGAAAGACCCTATTATGGACAAGACTGTTGTCTTAATCCTCAAGCTTGCATATCAGACTTCTATTTATTGTATATGGAAAGAGCGGAATGCGAGACTTGGGGCTGATGAGATCAGCAGATTCAGTGATTGCCGATATCAAAACCTTAATTCGCTTCAAGTTTGATCCTCTTTCTCTGGCTCAAAGGAATACCCCTTCAACGGTTTCCTTTCTCACCTCCTGGTTCACACTTTTAGCTAAGTAATGCTGATTCACACTTTTAGCTAAGTAATGTGTTCGTAGGTTTATTTTAAGTAGCATTGTATGCTAATTGCTAATTTGTAGATCTCTTTAGATTGATCTGATAGTGTAGCTGCACTGTAATCCTGATGGAAGTTTTTTTTACGGAATGAAGTGAAAAGTAGATTTAAAAAAAAAAAAAAAACAAAAGTTGATTTATGGATTTCTTGCATACGCATATATAACATTTTCTTGCCTAAATTTTATTCACTAGTTCCATTGTGAAAAAGCATTTGTTCACATTTGCAGTAGCAACATGCTAAAACCAATTTTAGAAACGTAGAAACCAAAATACGAATAAAAAATGCTTTTCTATCTGCAACATTATGGAAGCAAGTAATGAGTTGGCAAAAAAAAAAAAAAACATTAGGGAAGCAAAAGTTAATCTAAAATCATTTTTCCAAATGATCTTTCAAGAGATGAACGTACCATAGACTAAAGTTATCTAGACTCAATTAATATCATAAACTTTAACTAACTAATATAATCATCATGATTTAAGCCATGCAAATAAAAAGTTTAATATTTACATCAGTAAAACGATCATTAAGTTCTTGAAACTGCAATGATTACACAAAGAAGATTCAACGACATCCAGATGAATCTATGATACTAGACGTTCACTCAATAATCCTTTCAGATCAATAAACCACAACGCATACGACAAATGTGAAAGTCACTCGATCGCAAATTTACCACATTCAGATCACATCACTGACTAGAAAACTTATTCACCATAGATCTGTCCTAGCGTAATTTTCAAGTTCCCCAATGCAATAAAAATAAACTGTTCTACAATACCAACTTGGTAAAATTTGTGATCTTAAAAAGCTTTGTTTGAACCACCAGAGAGAAACATAATATAGAGAAGTGAATAACGATGTAATCTCTATTTAGCATGGATAACCCGAGGCGCATCCTCTATCCTTCCATGAGATCATTTTTCGGTGATCTCTGCCTCTAAATGATCTCACAAGAAGCTTACCGTCTACAGGCTTGCACAAGCCGACATCAACCACACTAGTGGCTGTTCCTCTTTTGAAATCTGAAGATGGGTCATCCACGTAATAGTCAAACAACATTGCCAAGCATCTGATTTGATGAGATAGGAGATGGTTTTCTTGATCTGAAGGTACAATCTTCAACATATGAAGGTTTACCTAAGAAACACCAAGAAAAGGTTAAGAAGGTATTATTGGAGTCTTCGAATAAAGATTTGGCTAACACTTACCTCTGCTTCCATAGCTCGTAATTCATTGTAAAAGTCTCTTTCATTTGTCCCGTTGTCACTTCCGGAAGCATGGAGAGACAGAGAAAACAAAGGAGGTCGAAGAGGATACTCCATGCTAATCTTGACCTGCCGATACAACTCCATTTCAACACTTGAGAAAGCAAAGGATATAAAAAAGATAGTTTCTAGGACTTACCTTTGCTTCTAACTTCCACAGCTTTCCACCATTTGTTTTTCTGGAGAACAAAAGCGCAAACTCTCTCACACCATAATCCACCCATGAATTATCAGCTTTTCCCGGGCACACTTCCGCATGCGCCTCGGTTTTCCCAGCTGGCTCATCTACTTCACTATCATCATCCAGAACAAGATCCAAATCATCCTCGTATCTCTTGAAACTCAGTAACTTTTTGGTAACTGGAGAATCTAGGTTCTTCGTCATCAACGCCAACTGCCTGGACCTAGCAAGATTAGATGCTTTTGATGGGGTATGATTAGAACTGGTTACTGAAGTTGCAGCTGGGACCAAAGAAGGAAGTTCTCCGTCTTCCCTTATACTTTCGAGATCTTCCTTACCAGAAATAGATCTTCCATCTACATCGATTTCCATAGGTTCTGGAACTTGTTCTACACTATTCAAAGTCTCAGAGCGCGACCTACTACCTGAAGATCGTATATGTAACCAGGAATCCAAAGCACAGAGAACCTTATGCAATGCCCAAGGAGCAGCTTCGCAGTTCACAGCGGGTAACTCGTGCTTCATAAGCATATCAAGCTGATCCCTGTAAAGCCAGTAGAAACTTCTAAGGTATTCAATGAATATATACATATCTACAGGAAAAATTATCCATGAAAGCTCTTAGCAAGAAGTTGACAATGCTAAATAGTTATCTAGAAAAGCAAACTATTAAATGTACCAATCATAATATCATATTCATATCTTGATGACACTTCGGTTTATCATGGTGGCCTATAAATTTCCGGAATTCTTTGCATGTTCCTTAATCAAGACGGAATACATACAGAGTGGGGACTCACGCAAGAGACAGATGCGCTTTTTTCCGCGAGCGTATTCTTTGAAGTACTGTTTGCACCCTATGCTGCTGACGATACAATGAAAGATCAGGCACAAACGCGTCACTTTTAGCTGAGTCAATGTTAGGAGTATCTTGGCCAAATACAACCGGGGACACTTCCGGTAAAATATCAATCCCCGTCAAATGTTGTGCCCATTTATAAGGCCTCGAAGTTCGGTTCTCATCAAATGCTTGATCATCACCAAGGATGAGCTTGGTCGACTGCATGAGAAACCAAGCCACGTAAATGACTATGAATATTGAAAACCAAAGTCATCACTACTAAAATTAAAATGTAAGAAAGCTGAAACACGAAAAAAAATTTACCTGATGAGGAGGCTCAAGTCCAGCATCGTTTGGAAACAAGTTACAGAATATGTTTTTCTCAGGTCCATCCTGAGATCCTTCAGCGCCAACACACACAACATTCAACTTCAGCACGTACTCAAACTTGAGAATGACGAGCTTAAGCGATTTGATATCGTGAATCTCATCGTCGTATATGTGAAGGACGATTTTGAGAGGGTGGACTTGATATAACCCTGCCTTATCAGAACCTTCTTTGCCTGTAACTTTCTTAGGTCGTTTTCTTCTCCTTTGTCCATCATCGTCATCATCAGGTCCATCATCTTCGATTCTAGAACTCTCTGTATTGTTCGATATACCTGAAGAAATAAACGCCAAATTAGCATTCATCTAGGTTCAGAGTCAGGAGACATTAAAGTTTTTACTTTTTACAACAACAAACCCGACTCCTTTTTCGATTGCTGTCGAGCATAAGCTTGAGCATCCTTAAGGCTCCCAACAATTTCCAAATCGATGCTCTCTGCAAAAGCTTCCTTTTGTGCCAAGAGCTGTGAGTAAACTACGTAAAGCGGAGGAGGAAGAAGCTCAGCTAGATTATGCTGCTTCAGCTTCTTCGTGTGATGTATGCCTAATTGGTTCTGTACTGGAATCGATGCTTTCTTTAGAGACTTGAGGTGTAGAGGAAGACTTGAAAGAAACTTCTTACGCTCTGCTATGGTTTCTACTAAACTCTTCTTCTGTTGCTCCAATCTCGCTCGACGCTTACACAATTCTTTCCTCTGAAATCAAAATTCCTATACATTTAATCACTTCCACCAAAAACATGATGAAACTTCAACGTAGATGAGCTTTAAACCTACCTGATGAAGCTCGAAATTGAGCCTCTTGGGCATCAAAACATGGGAATTATCAGTTGAGAGCGATTGATCTTTGATAGCTTCAGGAGCATCTCGAAAGAAATCTTCTTCTGGAACGAGATCGATGTCGGGATATTTGGATTTGAAATCTCTGCAAGCCTTGATAGCTTTGACGTAATGGCTCTTCTCGTACATGAGATTGTGCAATTGCAGCGTAGTGAAATCGACCGGCGCTTTTGCTCGTTCCGTCTCCGCCTTCACTTTATCTTCCTCAGTCAGAATCGCACGATTCGCCTGCCGAAGAGAAGGAGACACAACCCTAAGTCTCGTGCTGGATAATCAGGAGGAGAGTGTAGAGAGAAATCCTAACCTGACGAAGGTTAACAAAGTTGAGGAACATCTGTGTGAGGAGTTCTCGAATTTCGGATTTACGGTTTCCTTCTTTTTTTATGGAGAGCATCCTCGCGACGATTTCTTCCACGGAGGATTTGGTCTCTCGAAGCAACTCAAGTGGAGATTTCTGTGCCTCCCGCAGCGGAGCTACAGACTCCGTCGGTACTTCTGATATCGGTAATTCCTCCGCCGTCACCATCCCTTCCTCTATTTCGCCGTCCTCCATTGTTGCCTAACTCTTTTTCCGCTTGCTCCAGTCAGACTCGTTTTTTTGCGACAGGATTCTGTGTTTTTCTTTTTCCTAAATGGCTTGTTGCAAGAAAATGATTTTTTTTTTATAAAAAAAAAAAGAAATTGGCACCAACAATCCAAAAATAAATTAAAGTCATAATTTGTTTTTGTAACAAATATCTTTGATATTATTTTAATAAATTTATACTTAAATTTATACTTAACTTGTATATATTTGTTCGACCAAAAAAAAAGTATATATTTGACAATAGGTTTTTATGTTGGGCTTTTTGCATATATAACTATATTGATAGTTGAAATAAAGAATATAGCCATAGTATATGGATAATTTACAAACTAACCATGGCCCATTATCAATTGTCGAAATTATCCATGTACTATACTATAATAGCTACTATACTATATCTCAATTTTATAGAATAGTTTCGTTTTATATAGTATTTGTACAAAATTAGAAGAGGAGAAGAAGGGAAGAGATGAACGGAGAAGGGAGAGAAGAAGACGGGAGAGAATATGAGATGAGGAGAGGGGAAGAGAGGGGAAGAGAGAGGAAGAGGAGGGGAAGAGGTGGGGCGATGAGAAGAGGGGAGGGGAAGATGACGGGAAAGAGGAGAGATATTTTTGTATATATTGTATAATATATAAAGAATATCATAGCACTTATTTTGTTATGGTTAGTTGATGAATTTAGCTTGTTAATATGGTCATATAACCCAATTTCTCTTTTATGTTTGACAATTTTTTTTATTTTTTTTAAAATCAAAATGCAGGAAATACTCTTTAAACTTTTATTCAATCAGAAGAATTACAGAGTCCAGTCAAAATTATCCACACGAACATACTAATCCAGATTAAGGAGGGTATATTCAAAATAGAATTTAAATTGATTTATATTAAAATCACAAATCTTTTTTATTAAAACATAATTTTCTATATTTTTTAATTAATTCTTTTTTTCGATTGTCTTCTTCATGAGTGGATTCTTCATCTAGGAAAAATATGTTTTTACTTCCATTAATTCCAAAAAGAGGTGATCTTGATTGGGTTGAAAATTTGTCTTCGATTCAGATTATTCTAATAGGAAAGGTTCTCTTCACAGTCACAGTCATATGAAAAATTCTATTTGATTCAGAGTATAAGTACAAATACAAATAGAACCTGACAAATACAAACTCACAATTGTTCTTAGATGTACCTAGTTTAATTTAGTAGTACAAAATCATAAAATACAAACTCATAATTGTTTATAGTTGGACCTAATTTAACCTGGTAATACAAAACTGACAGATACGAATTTAGAATTGTTCAAAGTTGGACCTAGCATAACCTGGTAGAACAAAACATACATATACAACTCATAATTGTTCATAGTTGGATATAATTTAGCTTAGTAGTACCAACCAATAAATACAAATACACACACGAATTAAGCTTCACTACTACTTTGAAGCTGTAATCACCTACCCAAGTTTATGCCAGACACAATTGTTTATAGTTGGACCTAGTTTAACCTAATAGTACAAAACAGACAGATACAAATTCAGAATTGTTCATAGTTGGACCTAGTTTAACGTAATAGTACAAAACTGACAAATACAAATTCAGAATCATTCAAAGTTGAATCTGGTAGAACAAAACCGACAAATACAAACCCATAATTGTTCATAGTTAGATCTAGTTTAGCCTAATATCATGATATCTCACTCATTTACATCGTTTAAGCTTGCATTTAGTTCATGTGTTTGGTCTCCTTTTGCATGTTTTCTTTCTCTTTAGTCTCATTTTCCTTTCCTTTTAGACTTGGGTTGCATTTAGGTTGTAGTTTGCATTTTCTATGCATTTAGGAGGTTTTTGGGTACTTAAGAACTACTGGGAGCATGGAGGAAGTGTGAGAATGGTTCAAGGAGTTAGCCATCTACCTCTTCACTTGCACAAGAGTGTGTCAAAGCTGTCACCCTAAGAAGTGGGAAGTAACTCCCTCCAAGAGTGGCGCCTTCTACACCCAATGTAGACATTGAGGAACAAGAAGAGGGGATGGTGGCTAAAGATGATGAAGAAGCTAAAGAGGATGATGTGGTTGAAGCTGAAAAGGGTTCAAAGAACACTAAAGCCAAAGAGGTGGTTAAGGAGAAACCAAAAGAAGCACCTAAGGAGTTAGTCAAAGAACCAAGCTACGTTCCTCCACCATATCAGCCTACAATACCATTTCCTGGAAGGTTCAAGAAGTAGCTCATTTCCAAGTACAAAGGTCTCTTTGATGAGCACATGAAGAAGATTCAACTCACTATGCCATTGATAGATGCTTTTGTCTTGGTTCCACCTTACCAGAAGTTTTTGAAAGATGTTGTGGTTGAAAGAATAAAGGATCTACAAGGGATGGTGGTACTAACACATGAGTGCAGCGCCATCATTCAGCAACATAAGGTAACTCCCAACAAGCCCAGTGATCCAGAAGCTTCACCTTACCCTAATCTATAGGCCTGCTCCTATTTGAGAAATGCTTGTGTGATCTAAGAGCTAGTGTCAGCTTGATGCCCTATTCTGTAGCACAGCGCCTAGAATTCACTAAGTTCAAGGATTGTAGAATCTCTTTGGTGTTGGCTGATAGATCAGTGAGGCTTCCCAAGGGTCTTCTTGAAGATGTACCACTTAGGATTGGGAATGTAGAGACACCTACTGATTTTGTGGTTTTAGATATGGATGAGGAACCTAGGGACCCTCTCATCCTTGGGAGACCTTTCCTAGCCACAACAGGAGCTGTCATTGATGTTAGGAAAGGGAAGATTGAGCTATAATTGGGTAAAGACATGTCTCTGAAATTTGACATCAAGCAGATTATGCAGCAGCCTACTATTGAAGGTCAAGTGTTTCAGATTGAGATCTTAGAGAGGCTGCATGATGAGCTTCAAGAGGAGTTGTGTTATGAAGATAAACTCGGCTTTGACAAAGGAGCATGGAGAAGATGGTTATTTGGATAAGGAAAGTTTGGGTTATAAGCTGAGGCTAGACTCTCACAGGGTCTTGGAAGAAGAGGAACCATTTGAGAAGCTGGATTACACAGAAAAACAGGTGTTCTCAGTTCAAGAAGCTGGTTCCCCAAGCAATGAAGCTGGTGCCAAGGAGCAGAGCAGCTTAGAAGCGGACTGGAGTGAGCTCAAGGCACCCAAGGTAGAGCCCAAACCTCTTCCTAAAGGACTAAGGTATGTCTTCTTAGTCTCTAACTCTACTTATCCTGTAATTGTCAATGATAACCTCAATGATGATGAGATCCTTGCTCTTGTCAAAGTGTTAAAGAGGTTTAGGAGAGCTATTGGATATTCACTAGATGATATCCAAGGCATTTCTCCTAACCTCTGCACTCATAAGATCCATCTAGAGGATGCAAGAACTTCTGGTGAACCTCAAAGGAGATTGAATCCTAATATAAAAGTTGTAAAAAAGGAAATCGGGAAGTTGCTTGAAGTAGGAGTGATCTATCCTATCTCAGACAGCACATGGGTCTCACCAGTCCATGTGGTGCCTAAGAAAGGATGGATCACTGTAGTAAAAAATAAAAATGATGAGCTAATACCAACTAGAACAATCACTAGTTATAGGATGTGCATAGATTACAGAAAACTTAATTCTGCTTCTAGAAAAGATCATTTCCCTTTGCCATTCATAGACCAAATGCTAGAAAGATTAGCAAATCATAAGTATTATTGCTTCTTAGATGGTTACAATGGATTCTTTCAAATCCCTATCCATCCTAATGATCAAGAGAAAATAACTTTTACTTGCCCATATGGAACATTTTCTTATAGGAGAATGCCTTTTGGTTTATGCAATGCTCCTGCAACTTTTTAGAGGTGTATGACCTCCATATTTTCTGACTTGCTTGAAGATATGGTGGAGGTATTCATAGATGAATTTAGTGTCTATGGATCCTCCTTTGGTGTATGCTTGTCCAATCTTTCTCAGGTTTTTACAGAGATGTGAAGACACTAAGCTGGTTCTGAATTGGGAGAAATGCCATTTCATGGTTCAAGAAGGCATTGTGTTGGGTCACGAAATTTCAGAGAAGGGGATAAAAGTAGACAAGGCAAAGATAGATGTGATGGTGCACCTAAAACCTCCAAACACAGTCAATGGAATTAGAAGCTTCTTGGGGCATGCTGGCTTCTACAGGAGGTTCATAAAAGACTTCTCTAAGATATCAAGACCCTTGACAAGGCTGCTGTGTAAGGAGACAAAGTTTGTGTTTGATGAAGAATGTTTGCAAGCCTTCCTCACCCTCAAGCAAGCTTTAGTGTCAGCACCAATAGTTCAAGCTCCAAACTGGGATTTGCCATTTGTAATCATGTGTGATGCTAGTGACTATGATGTTCAAGCAGTCTTGGGGCAAAGAGTAGACAAGAAGCTTCATGTTATCTACTATGCAAGCAGAACATTGGATGAAGCTCAAACAAGATATGCTACAACAGAAAAGGAGCTCCTAGCAGTTGTCTTTGCATTTGAGAAGTTCAGAAGCTACTTAGTGGGTCTAAGGTGATAGTCTACACTGATCATTCTGCACTAAGGCACATCTATGCCAAGAAAGACACCAAGCCAAGACTTCTTAGATGGATCCTCCTCTTGCAAGAGTTTGACATGGAGATTATGGATAAGAGAGGCATTCAGAATGGTGTAGCTGATCACCTTTCAAGACTGAGGATAGATGAATTTGTTCCAATCAATGACACTCTACCAGAAGAGCAGCTGCATGCTGTAGGAATGAAGACAACTGAAGTGCAAAGCTTTGAAGAGAACAAACTGCCTTGGTATGGTGACTTTGTGAACTACTTGGTTATTGGCCAGATACCACTTAACCTCAACTCACATCAGAAGAAGAAGTTCTTAAAAGATGTCTCTAACTACTTTTGGGATGAGCCTTATCTCTACAAGAGAGGGAATGATGGATTGTTCAGAAGGTGCATAGTTGAGGAAGAAGTTCAAGGAATTCTACATCATTGCCATGGTTCAGCCTATGGAGGTCACTTTGTAACCTTCAAGACAGCCTCAAAG